CTGAGCTTGCTGGGGTAGGCAGGGAGTGCGTACCTGGCCGCGGTCTGGGACCGCTGACACCTGCCAGAACCTATACTAGGGAGTCCGGATCCTCTCTCCAGGACCTGGACCGGTCTCTTGGCCACTGGGTGGTCCCGGACAAGTGCCCATCCCTTTCTGGGCCTCCTACGGGGAAGGTTAGGGCACTAAAGCCCCTAAGGGTGTGTGAGGAGAGGCCTGGAGAGTGAGCCCGAGTCTGGCAGTAGTACACTCACAGGGGACTTTGGGCTCGTTTCTCAATCCCTGGAGTAACCGCCTGGCCAACAGGGACAGTCGTGCAGAGAATCTCGAAAAAAATTTGGAGTGGTTAGAAAAATCCCTCCTGCTGCCCTATAAGTTGAAGCTGATACATGGTTTACGTTTATTGGGCATTTACTGTGAGATGGGCACCACCTTCAACTTTTATTCTAGATTAATTCATTTTATTCCCACGGCTTTTTAGGGTAGGGACTGTTTCTTATTTTACCATGAGTAGGCTGAGGCACAGGAAGTAAAGGTAACTTGCCGCGGTCTTACAGCTGGGAGACGGTGGAGCAGGATATGAACCCAGACCCTGTAGGCCTCTGAGCAGACCTTTTCACTACTGTATATACTTGGAATATACTGGACACACTTGGAATAACCTTAGTGAACTTGCAGCAAAATCCCGTTCAGGCTGTCTAGCAGCTTTTAAAGTAAATTCAAGACACTATTAAACCTGGAGAAAGGCATCATCATTTATGGAGCACTTGTGTATCTGGTGATTTGCATGTATTTACAGACTAATCTTCAGAGGTAGACTTCATCCCGTTATAGTATGTAGAGGAAGAAGCTGAGACCTTAACAGAAAGTGACTTGCAGAGAGATTCTGTGGAAATACAGTTGACCTTAGAACAACAAGGGTTGGAACTGTGCGGGTCCACTTAAATGTGGCTTTTTTTCAATAAATATAGCCGGCCCTTGGTGTTCCCGGGTTTCACACCCATGGTATTTTCCATCCGTGGTTGGTTGACTCTCAATGCAGAGTGCTGACTATGCATTGTTCTATGCCATTTTATATGAAGAACTTGAGCATGGATTTTGGTATCCACAGGGGGGTGGGGGTCCTGTAACCAATCCTTCACAGATATACTGAGGGACGACTGAAATTTTGGGGGAGTCAAAAGTTATATGCAGATTTTTTACTGTGGGGTTCAATGCCCCAACCCCCGTGTTGTTCAAGGGTCAACTGTAGTAGTTTATCAATAGTTTATGAAGTAATGGCCAGTGTAGACTGTTTCCCCATTTTGTGAGTGATGAAATTGAAGCCCAGAAAGGTTAAGTCAAGGTCACATTCATGCAGAGTTGGAATAGAGGCTTGTCATACTCTGGAGAGATTGGTGTGGGGTTTGAGGGTATTGGGTTGTGTGGGAGGCTGCATTTGGAAGTGGGGGAGCTTAGCTGGGTAGGGTTAGAGGGAGGAAGCTCCCATCAAGGAGGGTGTGCTATGCCAGACCTTGTCCATATGGCATCTTTAATCCTCAGGACTCATAGCAAGATTAGGGATTAGTCCCACTTTACAGATGAAGAAACTGAAGTTCAGAAATGGTCTTGCTGTTCCTCTTGGCTTGTCCTGGCACAGGTGTACTTGCAACTTTTTCAAGTCCTCAGCTCCCATGGGACCAAACACCCCAGAGCTTGGAGCGCCAGACCCTCCTTTGCCCTTGGAGTTGAGGGACCCACGGAAAACTCTGGGGCTGGCACAGCTGTCATGAGGGCAGTAGAGTTATTTTTAGCTAGAGGGACAGGTGGCAAGGCAGGGGGTGGAGCTTAGGACAGGACAGAACCCATTGTCCACTATGGCTGGGCCCCTCCCAAGAACCTTGAGAAGGCTCTACCCCTTCCAACCACCGGTCCCACCTTTGCCATTGACTGGCTGTGGAACCTGGGGCAAATGGCCCTCTGGGCCCTTTCCTCATTGGGAAATGCTGGGAGTTGGACTAGGTTCAGATTTGTTTATTTTTTGCTACCCCTTTGTGTCAGCCCCTTTCATGGACCTTCTCTCATTCAGCCCTAACAGCAGATATGGTCAGTAAACATTTGCTGGCCCCTTGTCTGCCAGGCCCTGCTGGGCACTGGACATACAAAGGTACCTCAAGAATAAGGGCGAGAGAGACGTGCATACAGATAATGTAGTATTGTCTCCATTTTATTGGGTTGTCAGAAAAGTCATGACGCATTTTTGCAACGAAAAACATAGAAAAAAATACGTTATGACTTTTCCAACAACCCGATATAGTAAGTGAGGCGATCTGCCCACTTCTCTATGTCCATGGCCACCATCCCAGTTCTAATCACCCTCCTCCCAGGTTACCTGGGTCTCTTGCTGCAAAGATACATGTAGCAGCTAAAGGGGTCTTTTCAAAAGACAAACTTGTCATGATACTCCACTTAAAACTCTATAGGCTTTCCACTTCACTGGTAATAAAATCCTGTTTATTTTACTCCCTCTACTAGTAACCTGAGTGCACTCTTCCTCCAGCAGGAATACTCCAAGTGCTTTCCTGTTTGCAGGTTTTGTTGAGCACCTACTGCTTGCCAGGTCTGTTTCAAGTGCTTGGGGAGAAGCCATCCAGGCTAAGAGAACTTGTGTTAAAGCCCTGAGGTGGGAATGGAAACATTAGCTGCCCTGGAGATAATAAGGACAGACTATAAGGAGGTGGGAGTGGTTGAGCAGCTAGTGAGGGTGAGAAGAGGGTGGAAAGGTAGGGGAAGAAAGGTGGGCAGTCACGTGGGTCGGGCCCTAAGCCCATGTGCGGAGTTAGGATTTTATTCACCAGTAAGGGGAAGTCATTGGAGGTTTGTTTTTCACTTTAGCAGAAGAGTGGAAGTGATATAACTTAAGCTTCTTCCTCTGACTTCTGTGGGGAGATTAGTATGTGGAAGTAGAGAGACCAGTGATGCCAGGTGCTGAGATGCAGTTGCATTGCTTATATATTTGGGACTTCCAGCCAACAATATGCTGGTGGATTGGAAGGGGGTGAAAGGGGAAAAGAGGAATCAAGAAAGTTTTTGGCTGGAGCAGCTGGTCAAATGGTGTTTCATTTCCTAAAATGGGAAGATTGAGGGAGTAGTAACAAATTTGGGGGGAGGGTAAGGAGTCACAAGGGTTCCAATTTGACACATAATAGATCCAATTGCTCATCTATTTGGAGATGCTGAGTAGGCAGTTGGATTATATGAGTCTCCTGTTCAGGGGAGAAACTGGGCTGGAGATAGATATGTAGGAGTCATTGCCTTAGAGAAGGTATTTAAAGGAAAAGGGAGATAGATGATGGAGCCCTGAGGGCCTCCAAACGTGAGTCAGTTATAGTAAGAGGAGCCAAGAAGGTAGGAGGAAAACCACAGAAGGACAGACATAGAAGCCAAGCAAAGAAAGGGTTTCCAAAGGAGAGAGTAGTAATTAGTGGGATCAGTGCTGCAGGAAGAAACATGAACATAGATAATTGACTATTAGATGTGGGGATCAGGCTGGGCTCCAGAGACCTTGAGAAGAGCAGTTTCAGTGGGATAGTGAAGTCCTCAGGGCTGTGAGAGGATATGGGATCAGGCCCCCCCAGAGCAGAGAGAGCTCATCTATTGTAACAAAAGAATGCCAGGTCTGTAGCTACAGATGAGTCTAGTGGAGTCCATGGAGGAAAAGTGACAAAGTTCTGAATTCTCAATGAATTGTGAAGTGAGGTTGTTAGTTGATGAAGAAAGGTATTAGAGGTTTGGAGAGAGTAGAAAAGGAGAGTACATTGACTAAGAAAATGTAATAGGAGTGCTGTACTGTCACTTGAGATTTGTGTCTTAATAAAAGACACAAATTTAAAAAAAAACCACTCTTGGTGTGGTTGTAATTTGCTTCTTGCTGGGCTCAATGGCTTGGGTATAGTGGAGGGTTGAGTTTAACCAGGGCGGGAGTTTGCTAAGGAGTTCTCAGAGGGCAGAGGGTAGAAGAAACTGTGGAATCTTAAACGGTGGAAGGAAGAAGTTGAGAACATGAAGGGGGTTCAGTGAGAGATAGTGAAAATCGGTAGGATTAATGGATTAGAGGTTCTGACCTGCCCGGTTGCAGCTTTATTGGAGTTGGGGCTCTAGAGGGAGAGGATTGGAAAGATGGGACACAGCCAGAGTTGGTTGTTTGAAATCAGTATTTCCAAGGGAGAGCATCATCGGTGATGGCCTGCCAAAGTTGGGGGTGGGGTGAGGTAAGGGGAAGGTGTGTGTGTTGAGGCAGTGTAGGAGTAGCCCTTCCCATGAGGGAGGAATATTTCATCTCTGAATTGTATAGTAGAAAACAGGCTGACTTAGTTTTATTATTTATTATTATTAAATTCCCTACCCACCCACCACCCACATGGGTGATTGGCAGAATCTAAGCTTAAAAATAAAAATCACCAGGAGTCCCAGGCCCCCATCCTAGACTCATTGAATGTGATTATCCAGGGGAAATTTACAAGCATGCCAGATGACTCTTATCAGGGAAGTGTACAAACATTGACCTAGGGACTGACCTTGGGCACGGGCTAGTGTAGCAGAGAGGTAGGGAGGATGAGATTATTAGAGAGAAGGGTATTGAGAATAGTGAAAGAGCTCATAATAGTATCCTTTCTAACTACCTGAGAATTTGGACAAATTTGAGACATTTGGGGTGGTAGGTTGAGGCCAAAATATAACTTTAATTACTAATAATATTGAAGCCAGAGGATGTAGATTAGTGTTGAAGTCCAGTGATCCTGCTAACTGAACCCCAAAATTCTGTGTTTACCCATTGGTTACAGGCAAGGTGGGCTTAGCTATGTCTCTATGTGGAAGAACACGCTTCCTGCAGGCTGGCTGCTACTTGCTTGCAAAAGGAGAGCTGAACTGAGCATACGCAGTTTATTCCTCCCAAGTTTACTAATCAGACAAGTCACCCACTTCCTCTGGGGCAGAGAGAGGCCAAGAGTGTTGATTACACAGATGAGTTCCTTCCGTGTGGAAAGAAACATCAGGAGCGGGAAAGAAGCGTTTTCATGTTTTCAAAGAGATCAAGGAACTGCTGCATCCAATGTGTTAAATGATATCATTTATGAGTATTGAAGTCACCAAGGGTGATGACTTGGAAGATGGCGAGCCAAGGGCTAAAATCTTTAGGGAATGAAAGAGGTTAGTAGGTGGCAGTAGAAAGGATAGTGGGAAGCATATGGGTGTATAGGCTGATAGCTATTTTTTAGGGGGGCAGTTACCTGTGTTGTAATTTTCATGTGCCTGTGTGATTCTTGGATTAAATGTGTTCTCCCACAAGGCTATAAGCTGCGGTTAGGCAGAGACCATGTCTTGCTTTTTGACTGTCCCAGCTCCATAAATCTTGTTGAATGAGTAACAAAGTGCAGTGACCAGATTGCTCAGCTTAGTGTTTCGAGTCCACAATTGGATGAGTGACGAGTGGTGATGCTTCCTGGCTGATGGGATGAGGCCGCTCACGGAACTCTCATCCTTCCTGCCCCTGCAGCTGACATCAGTCTGGCCTCCTGGGGACGCAAGGCCCTGGACATCGCGGAGAATGAGATGCCGGGCCTGATGCGCATGCGGGAGATGTACTCGGCCTCCAAACCACTAAAGGGCGCCCGCATCGCTGGCTGCCTGCACATGACCATTGAGACAGCTGTGCTCATTGAGACCCTCATCGCCCTAGGTGCTGAGGTGAGGCCTGCAGCTGTTCCATGTGGGGCGGGGAAATCCAGTTTGGTGCCCCCTCAGACCCAGCCGAGGCTCCAGCCGTGTCACAGTGCCATTACCCTTTGTGTACATTTTCTTTCTGACTGGGAAGATAGCATCTGACAGCCCTCAACTCACATCATTTTGACTGAGGCTCTCTGGTAGGAAAAACTCAGCCTTAATCAATGTATTGCTAATTCAGTGAAGGACTGGCTGTGATTGGTCCTCCCAGCGTCATATGCCTACCCTGGGCCAATAATGACTGCCAGAAGTATGGCGTGCTCTGATTGGGTCATGTATACCAGTGATTGGCAGCTTTTCTAACCTCTCTAGGAGTCTCTTAGCAAGATGTTTTTCTAAGAGGACAGGGCAGAGCAGCCAAAACCAACATAGTACGCCAGGGTTCAGTCTTTGGACCTCTTCTTTCTTTTCAACATTCATACTCCTGGTGATCTGATTTTATGGCTTTAAATACTGTATATACATACGGTGATGACTTCCAGATATATGTACTAGCCTAGACTTCTCCCTGGAACTCCGGACTTGTATATCCAGCAGCTGATGTGTCATCTCCACTTGGAGACCTAATAGACATATAAAGCTCAACAGGTCCAAACAAACTCATGATTTCTTACCTTTCCCCCTCGTCCCTGGTCCCCCGACCCCCCGCAGTCCTCCTATCACCAGAGGCTCATGGGATGTCCAAGAGAGGACTCAACCCAGAGCATTGATGACCATGGGTTCTTGTCTCCGCACAAGAAAGAATTCAAGAGCGACACAGATGCAGAAAAGCAAAAGTGATTTATTGAAAAATGAAAGTACACATTTAAGAGGAAAGCGCCGGCAAATTCAGATAATGAGTGGAGCCGAAGAAGTCACATTGGGTTTTTATCCCTCCCAGGGTGGGGAATTCCCATTCAATCTTGTTCATCTCCTCCCCCTGGGCAGGACCCTCCGTTTTCTACTTTTTTTTTCTTCCTTACTTGTGTTTGGTATTTGGTTCTTCGGGAACTGTCATGGCATCAGATGCGTGATGGGAGTCATAGTAACCGCAATGCAAATGACAGTAAAATTAACTAAAGGTCAGTTCCCCAGTCATAAGTATCAGCCTTGCTGGATGACACTGGTGCTTGTTTTTCTCCAGCTGCAGGTGCTGGATGTAGGCACCTGTTGTACCCTGGAGGGGGTTGTTAATTTCCTAGGCTGTCTCATTCCCACATAAGCAAATATAAACTCCAGCCTTCCAGGTTCTTTCAGTTCAAGAACCTGGGGTCATCCCTGACTCTTCTTTCTCTCTCACTCCAATAACTAATCCTGCAACAAATCCTGTCAGCCCAGCCTTCAAAATATACTCATCATCACCTCCATTGCTACTGTTGAATTTCTTGTCTGAACTCTCACAACAGCTTCTTCACTTGTCTCCTTGCTTCCTTGTTGGAGCCCTTTCTCCTCCACACAGCACCAGAGTGATATTTTAAAACATCAGTTGGGTCTTGTCACTGCTCTGGCTTCCATTTATTTATCAGGGCCCTCAGCCTATGGTCGAAGAGCCTGCTAGGCCTAGATCCCGAGCCTCTCACCCTTAGCCCCAGGGCATTTCCTTATCTATGTGACCCTCGTGCATCTGAGCTATGTGTCACCGCAGCCCTGTCTTGCTGTCTCTTCCAGGTGCAGTGGTCCAGCTGCAACATCTTCTCCACCCAGGACCATGCAGCAGCTGCCATTGCCAAGGCCGGCATTCCAGGTGAGTCCTGCTTGCTGCTGGGGGATGCAGGAATGCATGGAAGAGCTCTGCTTCTCCCTGTTTGCTTCACTGACTCCTGCAGTGACAGGCTTCCCTGCTGCAGGGGAGAGGAGTGAGTCATGGCCACATAATCCAAGCCTAATGATCTCCAGGAAATCCTCTGGGAGGTTCTTATTGGCCCAGCTCAAGTCACGTGGTCAGGAAGGGTGGGCTCTTATGATTGGGAACCACATGGTGTAGAGGAGGGGACGTTCCTTCTAGAAAGGATATAAGTCTGTTTCCAAAAGAATTGGGGAGGGATGCTGGGCAGAAAAAGGGTCCCAGAGGTCCATTGCCTAGGGCCTGATGGTCTAGGGAGCTGGGGAGGGACCCTAGGGAAGGACATGTTCATGAAAGCCCCACACGTGTCCCAGTCATACCATATGATGGGAGGAGCCTGGACTGGTAGTAATGTCTGGCACAGAGAAAGTGCTCCATACGTATAGCTGCTTTTAGTAGCTGCTTTTTTGGCCAGATGCCATCTACCACGGAGACTGCTGGGACCTGAAGTCCTTTCAGTGAGGAACAAACCTTAGATCTTGCCTTGGGGGGTCTGCCTGAGTGTGGCTCTTTGCCCTTGCAGCAGTAGGCATTGTGGGTGGGAGCCTGGTCACTGTGCATTGATGCCCAGTGCTTGGAGCCCAAATAGAAGGGAGTGGGAAAGTAAATAATTATTTCTAGTTACCTATATGTGGGAGATTATACTTGGCCTCCTTCTCATTTAATCCACACTATTGTGAGCCCCATTTACAGATGAGGAAACTGAGGCTCAGAAAAGTGAAGTGATTTGCCCAGTCACAGCTGGAGAGTGCAGAGCCAGTATCTGAACCCAGATCTCTGGCTCCAGGTGTGTGCTTATCACTGCTGAGTCCTCAGAGGTGCTGGAGGTGACTGGGCATGAGGATTAGGAAGGAGATAGTATTGGCTCTGTCCAGGTAGTTCCGTGAAGCAGGTGCCAGTGGGGAGGGCAGGCCTTGATGTGCCACTCACCCTCCAGTGTACGCCTGGAAGGGCGAAACAGATGAGGAGTACCTGTGGTGCATTGAGCAGACACTGTACTTCAAGGATGGGCCCCTCAACATGATTCTGGATGATGGTGGCGACCTCACCAACCTCGTCCACACCAAGTACCCACAGCTGCTGTCGGGTGAGTAAAGCACGTGGGCTGGGTACTGGAGGTCTAGAAGGGGCCTGCTTGTCCATGTGAAAGCAGCAGGCATGGCAGGATTCCCAGTGCCTCAAGTAGCAGACTTTGGGAGATGGGAGGATGGCAGGCTCCTGCAGGTGTGCTAGGGCCTGGCCTTCTGACTTTTCGATGGGGTGGGGCTGGGGTAGCTGGGGGAGGCCTGGCTGAGATGACAGTCCAAGAGCAAGCGTAAGCCAGGGCTAGGAATGAGTTGGCTTTGTTAAAAATGGGGCAGAGAGGGAATTTGGGGGAGAAAGAGAGGCAGTGAGTGCAAAGGCCCTAAGGTAGGAAAGGACTGACTTTTGGAAACAAAGGAAGCTAGCATGGCAGCTTCCATCGCTGGGGGAGTATTATAGGATGTGGTTGGCGTTTTCGTGAAAGCCAGATATGTGAGGACACAGTGGGATGAAAGAATTTGGCTTGATCATGAGAGCAAAGAGAAGTCATTGGAGGGTTTTGAAAAGATTTCGCTGAAATCATACATATGAAAAATGCTTGCTGTGTAGAGAGGATGGGTTAAGTAAGGCTGGGAGATCGGTGAGACATGACGGTGGCAGGGACTAGGGCAGTGCCAGTGGGAACAGAGAGTTTGGGAGTGGTCGGGAAGTAGAATCACTAGGCCTGGTGATGGTGGTGACTCCTCCCTCATGCTGGTCTGGAGACTGGGTGGACTGTGGTACCAGTCACATATGGAAACCCAGAAAGAGGAGTGGCTTTAGGGGACAAAGATGAGGAATTTGGGTGAGTTCAGGGATAGGCTTTTGGGGCTTCATCCCAGAACCCCCCCAACCTCTCCTACCATCCCTTGGGCAGCTCTTTCCTGGCCTGAGGTCATCCCCACCCCTCTTGTTCAGGCATCCGAGGCATCTCCGAGGAGACCACAACAGGAGTCCACAACCTATACAAGATGATGGCCAATGGAGTCCTGAAGGTGCCGGCCATCAATGTCAACGATTCTGTCACCAAGGTGAGCCCATTGTACAGTGACAGCTCCAGCTGTTGGCTCCTGGTGCAGCTCAGAAATAGGGCCATGGGCTGGCCGAGTGGCATGTTGGTTAAGAGTTGGCTTGGGGTGCCAGCTCTGAGCAGCCGGTGACGCTGCGCCCTCTACAGCTAAGATGGTGAACAACAGCTCGACCTGGAGCTGAGCTGCCATGAGTCGCTGATGACGGCATAGGCTGCAGTGGAGCTGCAGTGGGCTCCTGTAAGCTACCATGAGCTGCCAAGAGCCGCCGTGAGCGGCCGTCCCGTGACCCGCTGTCCAGTGACCGGCGACCGATCTGCCTCTCCCGGGAAGAGCGCAATGATAATACCAACATGGGCCAGTGAAGCGACGTCCTCCACAACTAGACTGAAGAACAAAAGGACAGCAACTTGTCTGTTCCCCTTCCCCCAATTCCCCAATAAAATCTTAAAAAAAAGAAAGAAATAGGGCCCTGAAGAGGGGCCCCTGGGAAGGTTGCAGGCTAGGGACTTGAAGCCCTCATTTGAGTGCCCCCTGAGGGCAATTAGTTACATTACATTAAAGAAGGGAAGAATTACAGTGAGCCTCAGAGCTGGGCACGGAATGCTTTAAAACAAAGCAGATTTGTTGACTGGGCAATCTCTCCTTGTAATTGATCCTCAAGAAGCCTTCTGGACCAGCAGAGAAAGGCTAGGAGGAAGGTCTTGGGACTGATAAGGAGGAGGCGCATATGAGGACATTTACTGGCGGGGAGAAGTCACAGGAGGTTATCAGCCCTAGGCCCACCCGGCCGAGATGTTGAGTGTGGGTCTGAGGCCCCAGGGCCTTGCCTGCCTCCATTGACCCCTTGCCTCCTCTTCTTTCAGAGCAAGTTTGACAACCTCTATGGCTGCCGGGAGTCCCTCATAGATGGCATCAAGCGGGCCACAGACGTGATGATTGCGGGCAAGGTGGCGGTGGTAGCAGGCTATGGCGACGTGGGCAAGGGCTGTGCCCAGGCCCTGAGGGGTTTTGGGGCCCGAGTTATCATCACCGAGATTGACCCCATCAACGCACTGCAGGCCGCCATGGAGGGTATGAGAGGGCAAGTGTTGGCTGTCAGCCACTGAGGCCAGAGGAGGGGCAAGGCTACCCTGGATGACTCATGGCCATTGTCTCTGTACAGGCTATGAGGTGACCACCATGGACGAGGCCTGTCAAGAGGGCAACATCTTTGTCACTACCACGGGCTGTATTGACATCATTCTCGGCCGGTAGGTGCCAGGTAGGGGGTGCTGGGGAGCAAGGATGGGGGTAGGCTTGGGGCTGCTGTTTTTCCCTGATGGTTTCCCATGGGTTTGGGCTCCCCACAGGCACTTTGAGAAGATGAAGGATGACGCCATTGTGTGTAACATTGGACACTTTGACGTAGAGATTGATGTCAAGTGGTTGAATGAGAACGCTGTGGAGAAGGTGAACATCAAGCCCCAGGTGAGATGCCCCAGCCCTCCCAGCAGGGTGGGCAGATGGAGGGCTGAGGGGACATGCTCATGGGCTGGCCACCAAGGGAGAGCGATGAGGAGGCTCTGGCAACCTGAGCAGCAGGATGAGGAGGAAGAGGGCCTGGTTCCAGGGCCACTTAAATCAGTCTCAGTGAGGCCAAGGCATTTTCGGGTTTTTTTGTGGTTTTTGTGTGTGTGTGTGTTTTTTTTAATTTTATTGGGGAACAGTATTTCTTTGCAGGACCTATCAGCTCCAAGTCAAGTAGTTGTTTCAGTCTAGTTGTGGAGGATGCAACTCAGTGGCCCATGTGAAGATCAAACCGGCAACTTAGGTGTTATGAGCACTGCGCTCTAACCAACTGAGCTAACCAGCCGCCCGTTTTTAAAGGTCCCAAGATGGTTGCTGTGCAGCCAAGGTTGAGTGCCACTGCATTCAGCTTTTACCAAGTATGGTGATGGAGAACATGGGCTCTGTCCTCAGACTGTTCGGGCTCAAATTGCAATCATTTCTTAGTGTGTGGCTCTGGACAACTGACTTAACCCTTTAAACTTCAGTTTTTTTAATCTGTGAAATGGGGATAATAGTAGTACTTAAATCATAGGATTGTTATTAGTTATATGTATAATATACATACAGTTATATGTATGGCTTTATATATGTATACTGATGTGTATACTCTTAGCCCAGGGCATGTGGCAATAATAATATAAATAATAATAATAATAGCTAGTACTTACTGAGTACCTAGTGTGTGCCAAGCCATGTGTTAGGTACTTTCCATGTGTCAGCTCATTAAATTCTCACAACAGATCTGTGAGGTCTGCAGCTCAGAGCTGCTTGATAAATACTGGCTATTATTATTAATGGTGTGTTCCAGGCCCTGTGCCGGAGGTGGTTCTAGGGCTGTCTAGGCCCTTCACAGCTGCTGCTGGAGGCAGGGAGGCCTGCTGGGCAAGAGGATAGGTGGGAAGAAGCAGGCGTGGACATTGGGAGCATTGCCCTGCCAGCCCTCACCGCTGCTCTGCCCACTTCCTTGCAGGTGGACCGCTACTGGCTGAAGAACGGGCGCCGCATCATTGTGCTGGCCGAGGGCCGCCTGGTCAACCTAGGCTGTGCCATGGGCCACCCCAGCTTCGTGATGAGCAACTCCTTCACCAACCAGGTGCTGGCACAGATTGAACTGTGGACCCATCCGGATAAGTACCCCATCGGGGTCCACTTCCTGCCCAAGAAGGTGGGTTCCCACATCTACCCCGGGCCAAGGTTTATATGTCCAATCCTGGGCTTCCCACACAGGGCTTGCCAGAGTTCGTAAAGTACTCACCTCTCTACTCTCTTAGAAGCCCTCACAGGGTCTTCCGCAGGTCAGAAATCACTCTTGCCATTTAACAGAGGAGCAAACTCAGGCCTAAAGTAGGAAAGGACTCCCAGAGTAGCAGGGCTGGGTGGTGAGAAGAGCATGGGCTTTGTAATGAGACACACCCAGGTTTGAATCTCACCGTTACCACTTAGAGGCTATATAACAGGGCAAGTTACTTAACTTCTCTGTGCCTCCATTTCCTCATCTGTAAAATACTGGTAATAGTACCTTCTTTAAGGACTGTGAGGATTTCCTTAGATCAGGGGTCACCAACCCATATACCCACAGGGACTGGGCAGGTAAATGAGTGAACTGACTGAAGAGCACATACCCCAGCTGAGGGGGTAGCTGCCTGTCATCAACCTGGAATCCAGGCCCATTGGACTCTTGCCATTTCAAGAGAAGCCAGAGATCAAGATCTTTGTATGAAATATTCAATTTTTAAATATAGGTGACTTGTCATTTTAAAAATAAGCAGGTAGGTCAACTTGGATATCTCTGTAAGCTGAATGCAGCTTATGGGCTGCAGGATTGTGGCCTTGGAATGAGATGATGCCACTAACACACTGAGTGTAGCATCTGGCATGCTGTGGGTATGTGGTTTGTTACCTATTGCTATATAACAATTTAACCCCTAAACTTACTGGCTTAAAACAATAAACATTATTTCAGTTTCTGTGGGTTAGGAATTTGAGAGCACCTTAGCTGGGTGGTTCTGACTCACTATCCTTCACGAGGTTGCAGTCAAGATGTCAGCCAGGGCTGTCGTCATCTGAAGGCTAGACTGGGGCTGAAAGATCTACTTCACATCACTGTTGGCAGGAGATCTTACTTTCTTGCCATGTGGATATCTCCATAGTGCTGCTTAAGTGTCCTCATGAGATGGCAGCTGGCCTTGACCCAGAGTGAGTGATCCAGGGGGAGAACAAAGAAGACAGCTGTAGTGTCTTTCAAGATCTAGTCTCCCAAGTCACACACCATCACTTCTGCTTTATCCTATTCATTAGAAGTGAGTTACTCAAGGAGTGAGGACTTTCTCTTGAAGGAAGGAGTTATTATGAATTTCTAGACAAAGAATTTAAGGATATATTTTTAAACAACCACAACCAGTTTAATGTAAAAAGGAACTCTACTGGCTATATAAGGGAGGAGTCTAAGATCCAGGGATTCAAGATTATTAGAGCTCTGTCTTTCAGCTTTTTTTTTTTTTCTCTACATTTACTTCACTTGTCAAATAGACTTGCCACTGGAAAGGTGAGACCGATACCCTCCCTGTTTATGAATCCCAGTGGAATTGGAGAGACCCTGTCAGGGAATATATGTCCTGTCCATAGATAGGTTTCAGAGAAGCATTTTAGTTTGTTACTTGGGTAGGTGGAGGGTGAGGAAGATGTAATTGATGGTCCCACCAGGGCTACTTGGAGGGGAGGATGGAGTATGAAAGGGGAGCTGGGGACTGTGAGGATAGAGTGAGATAACACACATAACACATATGGCAGATACCCCAACAGAACAGTTCTTGCCTCTGTTGGCAGCTGGATGCATGTAAGGGGTCCCAGAACATGGCACTGATTCTAGGTCTTCCTGTGTTTCTCCCCAGCTGGACGAAGCAGTAGCTGAAGCCCACCTGAGCAAGCTGAATGTGAAGCTGACCAAGCTGACCGAGAAGCAGGTCAAGTACTTGGGCATACCCCGTGATGGCCCCTTCAAGCCAGATCACTACCGCTACTGAGAACCAAGCCTGCCCTTTTTTGCCCTCCAGCTGCTGTCCTTGCCCAGGTCCCATTTCTCCTCCCCTAGAGCAAATGGTGCCAATTTTGAGAATGGTTTGTTAATGTCCCCCATCAGCTCCCTAGGGCTGGTCACTCAGTCTTTGGCCTCTGCTGCATCTCTCATACTCTTCCAAGGGGAGCAGGGGGGGATTGAGAAGCCCCCGCCTCAGGCCCTGGTCACAGTGAAGGTACATGGGAGATGCCCACAGGGAACCATGAGCTCGGGGGCCTTGGAACTGCTCGTTCAGTCATTCCTTCTTTAGGCTGGAAGTTGGCAGTGGTGGTCAGAAGCTCATGCACTTTACCTTCTAGGTCCTCACCTGGCCTATGGATGTTATACTCATGTTCTTGGTTTTCAGGTTCACTGGTTGGTTCCTCAGCCCATGACAGATGAGAATGAGCTATATCAATGGGTGGGGAGGAACTGTTGGAGTTTGAATGCTCATGAGATCCTGGCTTAGTGATGGGCATTCTCTTAAACCTCAGAATAATGAGGTTGGTACTTTCAGTCCCTATTTTACAGGGGTTATAGAGTATACTGTTAGGGGACAGCCAAGAAAGGACAAGTGACAGCCAGAGGTTGAGAGGGGCCAGGGAATCTTAAAAGCAGGCATAGATCTGTCACCACTTTGTAACATGATGGTTCCTACCACAACCCTGGGTCAAAAAGAGTTATTTGGTTTAAAATGTTTATATAATGCTCATAGTGTTAAAAGAGAGCAGGAAGGTAGGTAAATAAAAATTTTGGTGCCTAAAAGAACTTTGAGTCTTTATTATATAGATAATTCACTGCCAACAATGTATGTTAATAGTTGTGTGCTGATGAAAAAAATGGGCTATCTACAGTGTGGGGTGATAGGGCTGCAGGCAACCCCTTGGACTTGTAAGGATGGGTAAAATGAAGAGAACTCTTATTTTCTCAGGTGTATATCTCTTGTAAACAATCTGTTTTTTAACCTAATCTAAGACTCAATAAGTGAATTTAACCCATTTATATTTACTGTAATCCCTGTTTGTATTTATTTCCTCTACTTTTTGTGTTCCAGTTCGTTTTTTTTTCTCCCCATTGCCCCTTTGGATTGACCCAGTGCTCCTTGGGAAACTGTTACTTATTGAACACCTACTGGTTAGGGGGTTTGTAGTTGATTTTCTTTAGTCTCACAACAATTATATCCTAATTTATATCCTTAGTAATATCCTAATTTTATAGATAAGAGACTCAGAGAGGTTCTAAGTGTCTTTCCTAAAGTCACACAGTTTATAAGAGGCCTCATCATGAATCAAATCACAGAAAGCTGGGTGGGAAGTTGGGCTCCTTCCTATTTGCCTAAATGGTCATTTACTAAACCCCTGTTCTGGCTTTGGAAATGAAAGCAAAATAAGAACCTTCCTGGGAACAGTAACTGGAAACGATTCTAAGGGCCATCCACTGGATGGAAGGCCTAATGGGGATGCTGGGATATTTGAGACCTGACCCCAGTCTGCTGGGATCTCAAGCTTAGAAGGAGAAAGCAGGCACACAAACAGCTTTGCCATCTCCTGGCACTTCTCTTTTTCTGCCCAGCTTTAGAGGTCAGTGCCTGGCAGCAGCAGGAGAAAGTCAGCAAGGAAGAGGGGGTGCCCGGAATGGATTTTGAAAGAACTGAATATTTTTAACAGGAGGAACTGAAGGCAAGGGCATTCCAGGCAACAGAACAGCTTAAGCACGAGTGAGTGAGGCATCAGAGGGTGGGGAAGAGTTGTTTGGCTGCAGTAAAGGGTTAGAAAGGTGGCCTGGGAGACAGAAGAGAGGCCTTAAACATCAAGATAAGACCTTTGGTTTTAATCCTTGAACTGTAACAACTCCTGAAATGTCCCTTTTTGATTGAACATTCCACACTCCTGGCTTATTCATTTATGTATTCTCAGCCTCTGGCTATGAGGTGGTATTACTTCTCCTAGGTTACTAGTGAGGACAGAGGTTCAGAGAGGCTAATGACCTGACCCAAGGTTATATAGTAAGTTACATGCATATATGATATGACTCTTGTAAATAATTTACAAACTTTCATACTTAAATGATTATTAGTAACAAATGACATGGGACCCATTTCTCACCAGTGGTCAAAACAAACAGATACTCTATCAAGCCCTCTGTTGCTTCCTATATACCTAATTGGGTTCCAGGCATTGTGCTAAGTAAGCGCAACGATAACCTTGTAGAAACTTGAATTCCTGTTTTACAAATAAGGAAACTGAGGCTCAGAAAGACCATGAGAGTGAGCTGGCTTTTGTACTAGGTAGGACTCAGCTCCAAATCCAAGCCCTTTCCACACCGATAGGCCCAGGTTTGGGAGGAAGGGATCCTGGTTTGAGACCCTCCAACACTTGGGTCAATAACTCTAGAACTGTAACCCAGGCCCTCTAAAGGCAAAACTGCCACTACAGAGTGCTGCCCACAGTGCCCACCTCAGCAACTCTACCATGGTGGTCTTTCGGACAATGACTTCTCAGTAAAAAAGAGGGGGAGGCCACTTGTTCCTCTGAGCCAGAGAAGTTAAATGCCTTATTTCGCACCGTGGCCATGCTGCTCCCTCCAAGGGGCCCCTGCCTTTGTGTAAGCACACTCCCTTCCCTCAAGTCTGTCTCCTCCCAGACACAGGAAATACTTTTCCAGATGTCACCTCCTGTGAGATTACATGTAGTCAGTCCCCCACCTCTGGTCCCCCAGGGGTTCTGTGGTTTGATGTCCAAGCCTTCTGCCCCACCCCCTTTCCTCTTTGGAGATGTCCTGTCAGTTCTCAGAACCTTTTTATTTATTTTTAAAATTTTTATTATTATTATTTTTTTAAAGATTTTTATTGGGGAATTGGGGGAAGGAGAACAGACAAGTTGCTGTCCTTTTGTTCTTTAGTCTAGTTGTGGAGGACGTTGTTTCACTGGCCCAAGTTGGCACCATCATTGCGCTCTTCCCGGGCGAGGCAGATCAGTCGCCGGCTTCTGGACGGCCGCTCACTGCAGCTGCTGGCCGCTCACGCTGGCTGCTGGCTATACATGGTAGCCCATGGCAGCCCACTGCAGCAGGGGCTGCAGCCTACGCCATCGCCGGTGACTCACGGCAGCCCAGCTCCAGGCTGAGCTGTTGTTCAGCATCTTAGCTGTAGAGGGCAGTGTCACTGGCCCTCATATGTGGGATCCTAACCGGGGCCCTCTGGCGTTCCAAGCCAGCTCTTAACCAACACGCCACTTGGCCGGCCCGAACCTTTTCTTTTTAAAAACAAAACAAAACACCCTCTCTTTTCATATCAGCCTTACCTCTGATCTCGGGTCTGCTAATCTGTCACATGTGTGACACTGACCAGGCACCCACAATGAAAGACGATGTGTCTCCTAAGCCCCAGTCCCGACTCCTAATGTCTGGGCTCTGCCATCAAAGCTTCATGGGGAAAGAAGGAATTGGCCAAGGGTCCTGTACTGTCTAGCCTGACCATGGCTGGATTTGTTTCCCACAAAAGGGAGCCATTGCTAACAGTGGTTCTATCCTGTAACAAGGGCCAGTGGTCATGCCAACTGGACCATTAAGTTCTATAAGGAGAGGCTCCATATTGGACTTGTTCACCACAGTATTCACAGCAGCTGGCACATAGTCGGTGCTCATATACATCTGCTGAATGAATGCAAGGGTTGGTCTTGCATGTATTTGTCTGGACCCAGCAGCCAAGTGGTTTTGTCACTAATGGACTGGGTCGTAGCTTTGCATACCTGGTCTCACCCTTGGGGACCAAATGGTGCCTGGTTGGTGAGCAATGTCTGGAAAACACAGAAGCAGTGGCTGCAGTATGTTCCCAATATCTCATTAATGATGACATTTATTCAGCAGCAGTTGTGGTACAAGGTACAAAAGGTTCTTGTCCTGTGGCCTTGCACCCTAAATGACAGTAAACAAAACAAGCAATTGACAGCGCTCTCTTTCTATTTGTTTTATAAAAGTACGAGAAGCATCACTATCTCAGATTTATAACAAGAACAGCCGGAATAACAGCAGGAGCTTCCCATTTTATAGACAAGTAAAAGGAAGCCGAGAGTACAGACCTCCCCAGGGTGTAGATTCGTGTTGCCAGCCTAGCCTGGAGCACCCATCTTTTTTCTTCTGCTCTACCCAGGTGGTAGGAACTCTATCCAGTTCAGGGTCTCAGGTTTGCCTCCTCAATTGCAGACTGGTTATGTCACTGCAGGCACAACCTAGATCTCCAGTTGGGAAAAGATACTTGGAAAGGAGGGAGTTTTTTATGGAATTTGAAAATTGGAAGATTGCAACTGTACAAAGGGGCCAGGGGAGGTGGCCTCACCTGTGCTGGCCCTTGAGCCCCACCGTCCTGAAGTTCCAAGGACAGATACATGGCAGTTATCAGGGCTGAGGCAACTGCTCCACATTTTTCTGTCTCAGCCTCTAGAGTCTTGTGCACAGCACTTTTAAAAATCATCTTATGCCACCGTTGCTTGCAACTTCCTGTTTCTTTTAGTGGTTCCTTGAGGAAGAACTCCAGCTGCTGGCGGGCACTGACAGATGGCAGGCATCTTGGCTTTTCTCCCTACTCTCAGGGATGCCTCCAGCCAAAGCAATACAAATAGATATCATTTGCAGCCCTTGTCCCTCAAGGGGCTCGGAGTTTCTGTGTTGATCCCGGACCCTGGCTGGTCCTTCCTCACAGACCCTAAGCCCACCTCTGTCCCCTCTCCCCAAAGCAGTATCCCAGATGCTCCCCCTTCAGGGCCCTTCTAAAGATATGCTACACTCAGTTTCTCACAGGAGAACCTCTAAGAATGGAATTTCAGGCAACAGCTTGAGACATTTTAGGTGACAGGCCCTGCTCATCCAGGACAAAGGTTGCTGTCTGCTCACTGTTGACCTTAAAGGTAAAAGTTATTTTACCAGCAAAAATGGCTTTATTCTGGAACAGCAAAGAATTGCAATTCTGGACAAGCAAGCTATAACAAAAGCCATAGGCAAGTCCAACAAACAAAGGAAGCGATTATACCGAGAAAGAGGAAGCTGGGAGCGGTTTTGAACAAAAGTCCATTGGAGAAAAGATTTCAGGGAGATGATGGTTTCTCATTGGTTGAGTTACAGGGGTAGTTGATTTCTTGTAGGAGGTGTAATGTGTGTCTTTTCCTATTGGGGCCCAAAATTGATGCTTCGTTCCTGTGAGGGTTCTTATTGGGGTCTGTAATTGGCAATTCTTTCTGAGCTCCCCCTTCTGGCTTCCCGACTCCATTTTAGTGAGGTTTCCTTTATTTTCAGATCACCAAGCCCAGGCCCACTGCCTGGTTACTGGCTGACAGCTGGGGTGGGAAGTGAGGAAGGCTTCCTGAACTCCTACTTCTTACTTGGGAGCCTAGACTCTGGGCTGTCAGATTTTAAAACGCCTGGGGACCAATGGTCAATGTTCCTTTAGCTTGGGAGCAGGAGAAGCTCCTCCCAGGCACAAGCACCTCTGGGAATCCCTGGGAGGGAGGAGTGGGCACAAGTGGCAGCTTTGGGAGCCTCCTAAGGCTCTAGGATCCTCAGGCCAGAGCCTTCTGGCAGTAGGGACACATGGCATTGCCGAATCACAACCAGCCTCCCGTTTTTATCTGCAGATCCCCCCAGGACAGACAGTCCAATGAGATTGTGTATAGAGTTGTAGCCTTTCTTGTTTTTGTTTGTTTGGGGTTAACCCCCCCCCCCCGGGGGAGGGTTAGGAGGAGCTCCTTATAAGGGGGAAAGGGGGAAGGACTGAATGGCAGTTCCTTCATGCTTCCTTTCTGTCTGGCCAGTCTGCATTCCCTGCATTTGGAGGCGTCGTCGGGTGTTCCCAGATTTAAAGGCAGAGGTCAGTGTTGTCTCCAATTGTCGGATCCGGAGAAACGCTTAACAGGGGTACGGCCTAATCGGGTTTCCCCAAGCCCCGGAGATAGCGTGTGCGCAGCACACGGGACTTCCACTGTGAAGTGGTCTCCGCGAAGGAAAACGGACCTTTCAGGTCCTTTAAAAACACAGCCACACACCTTCAAGCTGCCTATGTATATACTATTTGGATTTTAGCCCAACCCAAGCCAAGTCTCCTTGAAGTCCCGCCTCCTGAAAGCTGTGCCCGCGCAGTCAGTCCTAAAAGCCACACCTACTAGGGATCGTCATCCTAGAGGGTTCCCGAGGTCCCTGGAAGCCTCTCCCCGCCCCGCAGGCGGCAGGGAGACGGGCGCGCTCAGCAGTTGAGGTTCAGCACGCGGCAGGAGCAGACGCTGCTGAAGAAGCGGCACTTGCAGAAAGCGCACGGATCACAGCAGGCGGGCGCTGGTGGCTTGCAGCTGTAGCGGGTGGCCACGCAAGGGGAGGGCGGCGGGGGCCGGGGCCGCGCCACCTTCTTCATCGAAACCTTTTTCTGTGGGGAAATGCCAGGGCTGCCTAAGTCGTCCACACCCGCCCCGCCCGTCCTCACCTCTGCCTGGGAACTCGGGGTTATCGAGGGACGCGACCAGACATCCCCATCCGCTGCCCTAGGCCGGCTCGAGTCATGCCTATAGGGCATCCCAGGGGTCGTACCG